TCCCTGCAAGTTTCTAAGACTCGATGATGTTTCTTCTGTTTGTGGTTTTCTTTGTGAATTAACCCCAGGAGTTATTGGCTGTTCGCTATGTGAACAGGGTCGTGCTGGTGTGTGGGAAGCAGGCGGCGGGCAGGGCACAGGTGGTGGTTCCGGGACTCTGCTGTCACAGGCGTGTAGCTGGACACACAGATGAGATACTTGTCGGGCGTGACTTGGAGAACACCGAGGAGGAATCGGCTACAACAATAGGTGCTGCAGACATTTAGATAAACTTCCTAAGTCTGTTCATGAATATTAAAAACACCTGACTAATTATTTGAAACAGAGAGTCTCTTTAGCAACCTATATTATTCTAATGGAGCATATTTAATTTAAAATAACCTGATATCCACCTTAAGCACAAAAATAATGTCCACATTTGGGAAATCATAGACAATCTTCTTTAAGAAATTCATATTGGGCTTCCCTGGTGGCGCAGTGGTTAAGAATCCGCCTGCCAGTGCAGGGGACACGGGTTCAAGCCCTGGTCCAGGAAGATCCCACATGCCGCGGAGCAACTAAGCCTGTGCGCCACAAGTACTGAGCCCACGTGCCACAACTACTGAAGCCCGCGTGCCTAGAGCCCGTGCTCCGCAACAAGAGAAGCCACCGCAATGAGAAGCCCGCGCACCACAATGAAGAGTAGTCCCCCGCTCGCTGCAACTAGATAAAGCCCGTGCACAGCAACGGAGACCCAGTGCAGCCAAAAATAAACAAATAAAAATAAATAAATTTATTTAAAAAATTCAAATTGAGAGTGCAGAAATTCATAGAGAGACTAAAAAATTCTGTTTAGGTATTTACAATGTGGAAAAGAAATGTATAGCCTTCAGGGGGAAATGCTACCTAAGTTATATTTAAAGCAGGCTTGTTCCTATTAAAACATTTTCTCACTACAGTCAGGAAGGAGCCTGTTACTACACCCCACACCTCCACCGACAGATCCCCTCCTGCCGCTACATGGGGCGAAGATGCTGCCGTTCATCTGACTGTAACAGACCCCAGAAGCAGTGCTCAGGGAAGAAATCCTTCCCGATGCCTCAGTTGGGCGGGGAGTTGCAGTTATTTTGCCGTTAGCAGGGTCGGTGCTGGCACAGACTCCTCCAGGAGCCCCTTAGGGGGGACTCTGATGCTGAAGCCAACTGCAACATGGGGGGACGTCCCCTTGCAAATCCCGGACTTCCAATCCAAAGAATCTGCCCCTAAGTGTCTTGGCAGACTTGCGGTGCTCGGAGGACTGATATACACAAAATGGGCTGGCTTCTTCCCATGCATTTTAAGGCCAAATCACAGTAATGGGCCATGCTGGGGAAAAAAGATATAGCTCTGAATGCTGACTTTCTTTAACATCATTTGAAAAAGGAAGTGGCCCCTCTGCTTAATTTCCTCATTTCTCCTGTGGAAGCTGACCCTCTACCCTGCCAGGCGGGCGTGGGCCAGGACCTGTCATGCTGCAGAAGCTTCCTTCTGAAAGTGGACCAGCTGGGTGGCCTCCCAGCTCTTGGGATCCAGCATCACTGCCGCCTGCGTCACAGTGACAGACGGTCTTCTGTCTCACCTGACAACACTCAGGTGTTCGGCATCACCTTGGCTGGGTGGGTGAACAGGGACTCCCGACCTGGTCACGGGGCAGAGAGCCAGCTGAGTGGGTGAGCAGCTGTCACACTTTGGATGGGACTACATGGCTGTGCCCAGGTCTTGGGCCACCCCCGGCTCTGCCAGCCTGGTCTGTGATCCATGCCAGGGGCGCACAGGGAGCTGGCAAGGACGTGCCTGCTTGGACCACTGACCACCTGGGTCATATTTGTGTCATTGTGGACATGCAGCTCTTGCTTCTTGTAGCTACGACAAAATGTCTACTTAGCCTGATTCTTTCAGGCTTTAAACGGATTCTGTAGAGCTTTGAAAACATAAGAATTGCAAACTTAGGCTTTTCAGTGTGTCCTATTCCCTGCCTTTCTTTTGAGTCTGTGATAACTTCCACAAAGAGAACTCTCAGAGGTTGGGCTTCTGCACGTCCCGATGAGAGTCAAGCCAGAGAAAGAACCAGGAAGTGCTGAAACCCTTCTCCTGGCCAAGAAAAGAAAAAAAAAAAAAAAAACTAGTTAGTTTTCTGAGGTCCAAGGTCTTCTGTATCATACAGAGAAAGTGTGAAAAGAATGAAGCAAATAAGAGAACAAGTTCTCTGATTTTATTTCAGACATTGACATTTATATGTATATTTGGGAAAGATATGTATATGTCTTACTTTTTATCTGACTTTCCCTTGAATGACTCAGCTGACTAAGAAAGCACCTCTGGCCTTTGGGAAGAGGCCAGAAGCTTTGCTTATAAGATCTGTGCAGGTTTCCAGTTTGTCATCACATTCCGGTCGCTGTGGGGGCCAAAAAAAAAAAAAAAAAAAAAAAAAACTAGTTAGTTTTCTGAGGTCCAAGGTCTTCTGTATCATACAGAGAAAGTGTGAAAAGAATGAAGCAAATAAGAGAACAAGTTCTCTGATTTTATTTCAGACATTGACATTTATATGTATATTTGGGAAAGATATGTATATGTCTTACTTTTTATCTGACTTTCCCTTGAATGACTCAGCTGACTAAGAAAGCACCTCTGGCCTTTGGGAAGAGGCCAGAAGCTTTGCTTATAAGATCTGTGCAGGTTTCCAGTTTGTCATCACATTCCGGTCGCTGTGGGACAGAGTTTCCATCTCAGTGGACGCAGGACCTCCCCAGCAGCGTCACGGGCTGGGGCACAGCTGAGTAAACACGTGGCACCTCCGTGACCCACATGCCCGTGGTCAGAGTTAAAGCTCGTCCCGACTGTCTCCATGCTGCCTTTCCACATGTCCTAGACAGTGCCCTGCACCCGGTGAATATGCCCCAAAGGTTACTGTTAAAGATTTCTGTAAAACAAAGAGAGAAAGAGAGCGGGAGGGGAAGAGAGAGAGGCGGGGAGGAAGGGAGAGACAATTGAATGTCTTGAATCTCCACCTCTAAGACACTTGTATTTCTGAGAATAATGGGAAAGTCTTTTTCGTAACACAGTAGCAAAAAGAGCAGGCAAGCATATATTTTTATACACACCCATTCTCTCAACCCTGAGCATTTATAGGGATCAGGCAACAGTATTAAGTACAATTAGCAGAAAATCAGAAGAGGTTGAGGGTAGGTGGTTAAGTATCACTTTATCCCATTTGAGAGGTGAACATACCCTATAATGATGACGCATCTGAGCTGTATGTATTTGGTCGGTTTCTCTTGTCCGCAGCCTCTTAGGAAAACCAGAGCACAGTTTGCCCCTCCCCTTGTGCTAAGCCCCCCCCCCCCCCTTCTAGGCTGGGGAGTCTCAGTGAAGGTTTTGCCAATTAGGAAAGATAATTTATTATTTTTTAATAATTCATCTGCAGGTGCTCACATCTGCCTTCCAAGTAGTTCCGTGGATTTTGTTTTTTGTTTTGGTTTGGTTTGGTTTTGCCTTGGCTTTTCTTTTGCTGCACATGTGCTATTTGGAGAGTTGCTTCTCTGAGGTTTTTCAGAGCTACAAAGCCAGGCATGAGCCGTTCAGACAGATTGCAGAGTTGGAGCCTCTGAGGCCAACTCCAGAGAAGAGTCCTCAGCACCTTTCTCCAAATATTTATTGTAAATGAATTTGAGTTAGTTGGCCGGAAAAGATTTCAGGAAAACTGTCACACAATAAAACTGAGGTTTCATAGGCTGGCTGTGCTTTCTCACTACAAGTTCTCAATTGTACATATACATCTCACTAGGTCGAAATGAGGAAGTGGCTGATATTTGACTGCCATTGTATTGACACACAAAACCCAGCAATTTCGTATGGTTCAACCCAATGTATTTAAGTCTCATGGCTGAATTGGGCTCTTCTTTATAGGCCTCAAAAATCAGGGGAGGAACAGTTTTTAATATCTAAATAATCCCATATGTTTTATTCACCAAACTTTCCAGCACTGAAAAGTCACAATCCCCATTCCCACCCTATCTGAATCCTATAACCTGAAAATTGTGGCGGGAAATGGGGTAGGTGCCACTGACACAAGATAGCCCTATGGAAAAATGCAAATTCCAACATTCTGTCTCTTTCTCCTATAAACAGGAACACAAAGAGCGTGGTGACATGACATGGAAACACCTGATATTCCAACAAAGGAAGTCGCAGAGGAAGGCTCCTGATGGATGAAGGAGGAAAGCCGGTCTAGTGTGTGCAGTAACTGTGTCTTCCTAATACCCACCTGGCGACTGAATCATGCCCTCTCTGCTTCCAGGTGAACATTGTCGAGGCAGGCCCATCAGGAGCGCTGCCGATGCCAGGACACACACAGATATTGTCCGGCTGACCATCCATAAACCTTAATCGCACATGGGAGTCACGCACAAAAAGTAAGCTCCCTGGGGCGGCTCCCTGTAAAACAGCAGTAAAGTCAGTGTTCTGAAGTGTGGACTGCAGCCCGTCTCTGATTCGTTGGTCCTCAGAGACAGAGATGTGATGGAATGTGGAGGGATAAACACTGACTCAGGAAGAAAGGGCAGGCCCAGTTCCTTAGGAGCACCTGACAGCTCAGTTTCGCAGAGCAGGAGCTACAGACAGAGCCGCGGCTGAGGCTGCAGGGCGGTCCTGTCCGTGGACTGATCATCACCACGCGGCGCGGAGACCGAGCCACAAAGACCCCTGCAGACGGCCGCCGGGCGGGAACCTTGCCAGGTTCACAAGTTCAGCCGGGAGCGCGCTCCAGTCGACACACCCCTTTCGCCGGAGAGGAGAGCGGGCGGGCGCGAGGGGAGCTGCGTGCGATTGAAAACCAGTGTGGACACAAGTGAAATCTGATCGCGCGCCAGCAGAAGCGTGTGAAGCCAGGAGCCCCGGAGGAGCCATCGACCTTGGGCAGCCCGAGTCCGGGCGAAGTCATGCCGGGCTGCTGAGCGGGGACGGCAGCCGGAGCGAGCGCTCGCATGGAGAGCCCGGTGGCCCCCTGCGTCCTCTACCCGGGGGACGGAGCGTGCGGCCAGGCCGGGGGCCGGGGCGGCGCTCCCGAGGCTCCGGGAGAGGGCGGCCTGCAGCCGCCGGACGCGGCGGGGGGGGGGGGCGCTGCGTCCCCGGCGCAGACACCCTGCAGTCTCAGCGCGTCCCTGTGCTTCAGCTCCGGGGACGATTCCCCGCCCTCTTGTCGCCGCGGCCGGCGGGTGGTGCAGAGGCAGTGGGAAGTCGGCAGCGCGGGCGCCGCGTCCCCGGAAGGGCGCGCGTCCCCTGAGGATCCCGTGTCCCCCGAGGAGCGCACGTCCCCAGAAGAGTCCGCGTCCCCGGAAGATCCCGTGTCCCCCGGGGAGTGCCCGCCGGCCGAGGAGCCCACGTCCCCGGAAGAGCCCGGGGACCCCGCGCCCGTGCCCCCCGGCGTCGGGCCGGAGCACGGGGAGCCCGACCTGCTCATCGAGGTGTCGGGCCGCCGGCTGCGGGCTCACAAGGCGGTGCTGGCGGCGCGCAGCGACTACTTCCGCGCGCGCGCGTCGCGGGACGTGCTGCGGGTGCAGGGCGTGGGCTGGGCGGCGCTGCGGCTGCTGCTGGCCTACGCGTACAGCGGGCGCATGGCGGGCGTGCGGCCCGACAACGTGGCCGACGTGGTGGCCGGCGCGCGCCGCCTACAGCTGCCCTGCGCCGCGCAGCGCGCCACCGACGCCGTGGCGCCGCAGCTGAGCTTGGCCAACTGCTTCGAGGTGCTGAGCGCGGCCAAGCGGCAGCGGCTGGCCGAGCTGCGCGAGGCCGCCTACCGCTTCATGAGCGACCACTACCTAGAGGTGCTGCGCGAGCCCGCCGTCTTCGGTCGCCTGTCGGGCGCCGAGCGCGACCTGCTGCTGCGCCGCCGCCTGCGCGCAGGCCGCGCCCGTCTTCTGGCCGCCGCGCTCGGCCCGGCCGGGGAGCGCGCGGGCAGCCGGCCGCAGAGCCCGTCGGGGGACGCGGAGGGCCGAGGCGACGCCGCTGTCTACTGCTTCCACGAGGCGGCCGGCGAGTGGCGCGAGCTGACGCGGCTACCCGAGGGCGCGCCGGCTCGGGGCTGCGGCCTGTGCGTGCTCTACAACTACCTCTTCGTGGCCGGCGGCGTGGGGCCCGCGGGCCCCGACGGCCGCGCGCGGCCCTCGGACCGGGTCTTCTGCTACAACCCGGCCACCGACCGCTGGAGCACCGTGCGGCCGCTGCGCCAGGCGCGCTCGCAGCTGCAGCTGCTGGCCCTGGACGGCCACCTGTACGCCGTGGGCGGCGAGTGCCTGCTCAGCGTGGAGCGCTACGACCCGCGCGCTGACCGCTGGGCCGCCGTGGCCCCGCTGCCCCGGGGCGCCTTCGCCGTGGCGCACGAGGCCACCACCTGCAACGGCGAGATCTACGTGTCCGGGGGTTCGCTGTTCTACCGCCTGCTCAAGTACGACCCGCGACGCGACGAGTGGCAGGAGTGTCCGTGCAGCAGCAGCCGCGAGCGCTCGGCCGACATGGTGGCTCTGGACGGCTTCATCTACCGCTTCGACCTGTGCGGGGGCCGCGGCGATGCGCCGGGGGCCGGGCCTGCGGCGGGGGTCAGCGTGTTCCGCTACCACTGCCTGGCCAAGCAGTGGAGCCGCTGCGCCTCGCACCTGCGGGCCCCGGCCGCGCCGTCGGGCCTACAGCCCTTCCGCTGCGCCGCGCTGGATGGCACCATCTACTGCGTGAGCCGCGCGGGCACCTGGCGCTTCGTGCCGCCCCCGGACGGCGAGCCCGGCGCCGGCGACGCGGGCCCCGAAGGCAGCTTCGAGCTCCAGTCGCTCCGAGCCCCCGCGGACGCCCGGGGCCTGTTCTTCCCGTTCGTGCTCAACCTGCCGGAGGAGAAGCCAGACCGAGGCGAGGAGGGCGCCGCGTAGGGTGGGCCGGGTCACCCGGGCGTGTCCCTCGGCAGCCCTGGGCCAGGGGACGCCCCGTGGGCCGAGGTCCCAACTGGGAAACTGGAAGGGGCGAGGGGAGTGGAGGCGGGGAGGGAGAGAGTCGGGGGTGGGCCGCGGTGGGCCCCGCCCAGCCCACGGGATCATTTAAAGGCTTAGAAGGTAGAAGCTTGTCGCGGGGCCTTGAAAACCTTTTGCGATGCCGTATTAAGGCCCGCTGCCTAGTCTGCATTCCTTTTGCTTTGCTTTGCTTTGCTTAATGGGGTCGATGGCAAGATGTAGGATGTGTGCAGATAGATTACCTTACAAATAAGATACAAAATACCTGAGAAAGAAAGAAACAGAATGAGAGATGAAGCCTCTGGGTGCAGGGGGTGAGGCCTGGAGTGTACCGGGGTGTACTGCCCTCGGTATCACTTGCGGAGTGGCCGGGAGGCCAGACCTCAGTTGTGTGGGGTACCGGGTACCGTTGCTTCCTGCAGCATGAGAGGGGACCTCGGGGCCACCTCCCAGAGCTGAGATCCTAAATTAGGCCAACGTGAACTATATTAGTGGAACGACTGAAAGAAGGTCAGTCATACTTTTTTCGGCTTGAGGTTTAAAATTATAACTGATAAGAAAAGCTTTTAAACCCTTTCTAACTTAGTTTAAAAGTTTCTGCCACATGTGCTTAACTTGCGGTTGGCTCCATTCCAAATGTAGTAAGTATTAAGGGTGAAATCTTTGATTCCCAATAAGATCTGTCCAGTGAGAACTGAAAGCATCTCCTCTGTCATCACAGGGGCCCAGATACGGTCAAAGGCCCACACACCTCAAGAGCAGGTCCTTCTCACCGCTTAACTGAGATGGGTTTAATATTTTCAAGTTAAGAGATGTTAATAATTATGTTCAGTGATGTAGTAACGATTTGCTCTTATTTGAGTTTTAAATCTGCGGTGACTGAATGTTTTCCAAAGCGCATGTCATCAGTACGAAAAGCTGACAGTGGCCGTGGTGCTTGTCTGCTTTAAAAGGAGCATTTGGTACCCACCAGGTATGCTCAGCCACCTTGATATTTCATAGTGGGCTCAAAAAGAGTAGTATCCCCCCCCCAAAAGAAGGTTAAAATCCTTTCTTTTTGAGAGTTCTAAAGAATAACATGCAGGCACAGTTGAACCCGCTACTTATGATGTTTTAAATATGAATTCTGTCATCCTGATGAGGGAAATTCATTTTTACAAGCATCAGTCTAAGAAATTGTGGCAGAGTGACAACACAGTAACATAAGGGGAACTACCATATATTTATAACGTAGTTTAGCAAGTAAACTACACTTTTCTAATTGTGAATTCCAGAATACTGCAGCAGAAGTAACATGAAATTCAGTACTTCGATAGGGCACAAGGATTAAAAACAAATCAGTTGATCTTTCCTCATTTGTTATAACATTTTACTTTCCAAATGTGTACAGACAGGGCTTACTGTTTATTAAAAGTTTAAGGATAAAGTATACGCTCATAAATAGAGGCCAACTGATTGGGATTCTGAGTCCAATCCACTTTTTTTTAATTACAATAGGAAAAGTACACATTGAAAGTTATTGGCACATAAGTAGATCAAGTTATGTGTACCTTACTATGATTTACTCGTGAATCCAGTGATGGGGGGTTACCTCTCTCTGTGCCAATCAGTGGGTATGTGGGACATAGGTTATGCTTTTTAAAGAGTCTGTGGTTATGAAAGTGATCAGTTAAGCTGTTTAGGAATGATAGCTTGAATCATGCTTGCGCCAGAGCATGGGATCTACCGTTTCAGCGGGTGCATCCTGGTGACTTGTGTGCCTGCCCATGACTGCTCCTGACCTGAGAGGATGCTTGGCAACTTGGTCCATCGTCTTAGGAAAGAGAAACAGGCTTCAGATTGCCTGCCTTCTTTGGCCTTTTGGTAGGAATAGACTGGAGACATGGCAGGAGGAAAAGAATTGAGATCCAAAATAAACAAATAATGTCCTTCTAAAGACATGAGCATTTCATATGATAGTACATTTTTCTCTAGACTTTCATTATTTATGGTAAAACTTTTACATGAAGTGGAACCAAGCTAATATTTTCATTCCTTCTGTATCAAACTCATGAGATATTATCCCTGTGATTTTACTTGAGAAATCATTCCTACGATGTTTACCGTCTAAAAACATAAACCCTGAAAGTGGGCTTCCAAAGTAAACTCTCCCCATAGAAGATGGGAGACCTGTTAGATGTCACGTGTGGATAGCCACACGATGACATGTCCAGCTGGAGTGTTTGTATATTATTTCATCCTTTAATTGAACGAAGAAATGCCTGGACTAGACGTAGCATCACTTTCTGTGGGAGCTGGCCCAGAGTCGCAGGGATTTGTCAGGATGAGATGCCCGAGGATGCCTAAGGAAGGGTATTTAGAACCTTGCAGAGCACACTGCTACTAGTAATATCACTGAGAACAGATACCAGAGCACCTGGCGTGCTGAGAGGACCAGTTTAATTTGCTTTTGGAGGCCAGTACCTGGGGTGTAGGGCCAGGAGGGTGGTGCACCGATTACACCAACAGAAAAGCCACCCCATGCAAGATCCTCGGTTTGGAGGACAGCTAGGGGAGGAGCAGGCCTGGCTGAGACTTCCCTCCAGGTCTGATGTTCCGAGGACGGATCATGTCACATTCAACGTGATGTGCCAAGTCTGTATGCAGCTCTATTTAGAGAAACAGTTGGTGCAAAAGTATTCTTGTTCTTCGACCAGTTGAGTCAAACGAAGCTAGTGCATTTATGACATCCATCCATAGTTCACGTGAAATTAAGAAACCCACGCACACTGACATTCCCAGATATTTGAAAGAGCAGTGGCATTTTAAGGGGAAAGCCTATAATTTGGGAAAACTTGATCTTTTGGTTAGCTCACAAGCAATGCTTTTTGTATCGTTAATCAAGGTTCATTTGGGAACCAAAGGAATGGGGTTAAGACGTCTTCCCTTCCTTTCTGTTTTTACCTTTGGTTCGGGGAACAGCCCCAGTGCCGGCATGGACTCTGGCAGCTTTACGGGGCTGGATTTGGAACTCAGTGACTTGACTTCTTAATCTCTGGCAGCACCAATCTCCTTTCCTTGAAGACAATGGAAGTTCTTTTGCTACTTAGTTAAAACTCCTCCCTTTGTATCAGTTTTGCTACAAATCCTTAAAATGAATCACCTGCTCCATTCCTGTTAATTTCTGGTGTCCCTTCAGTAATTCGGGTAGCTGCTGTTTGATCTGTGGGTCTCTTGGGTAACTTCCTGTGAAAGATTTTGAAGTGAGATGCAATGTTTTTGAGGTCCTTTGTGTCTTCCTGAAGTTAAGATGGTTTCAGGACATAATCTGTTGTAACACCTTCCTGGGGCGATATGTAAACAGAAGCGCTCTTTTATGTTCTGTTTTATTGTAGTTGCTTTCCTGGCTTACAAAATGTTTTATTTTGGTGTTTTTAAAAAATATATCAGTGTCCTTATTTTTCCCTTTTCTCTGCAATATCATTATTCATGGGAAGATATGAAGAGCTAAAGATGGGAACGTGTCATCTTCTGGTTGCATCTGAACGTATGTCAGCGGCCACGTTCTCTACACTTTCCCCCCTTCCAGGAAGGTGCCTGGACCACAGGAGCTGGCAGGGCACTTCGTACCTGCTTGGTGAATTGGTTTGAGATGAATTGAAATAAAGGCCTAGATGTGTTCTCATGCGAGATGAAAGCTCCTCTGAGGCTTTTGAAAGCTGTAAGCAGTGCTGCAGTGTGGCCGGGTATTAAAGGCAAACAGGTGTCTTGAAGACACAGTTCAGGCCGGCTGATGCTTTATGGATCAACGCTTCAGTTTCTAGGTCCTGGGTACCAATCGCATAAAACCTTGTACATCTGTCTGTTTATCCTGAGATGAAATAAATCACTGGGCGATGCCAGCGCTCCTGAAACCTGTGTGGCTGTTCTTGTGTCTTTTCTTAGGAGTGGAGCCCTGGGTGGGGGTCCTTGCCTGGGAATGTGCTCCCGGGGCTGGGAGATTTCGGCCGACCTGCGAGGCCCAGGGCTGGAGTCCCCCGTCTGAATGTGGAGTCTGGGGACTCTGGAGGGTCCGTGCAGCTCTGGTTCTAAGCCAGGGGGTCTCTTCATACTCATCAGGTGCATATGAACCCCTTGGTCCCCCCTTTCCTCACCTGTCCGCTCGGCCAGCAGGCCGTGGGCCACCCCCCGTCACTGTTTCCTGGAGAGGCTGTCCTCTATGACACGATGTTGGTTGTGGGTTAGGAGAGTTGGTGTGGACACAGGAGAAGCAGGAGCCAGGCTGGCGGGGGGGGTTACACTCACAGCCCGGAGAGGGGTCAGTGCAGAGCTGGCTTCGTCGGGGACGCAGCACAGGGGCGAGGGGAGAGCTGTTCTTAGGGTTCCCGTGAACAGCTGGGCACAGCTGCTCTGAACGATACCCAGGGCTGGCAGGGGCCCCTGCTCTGCCCGGGGTGTCCGCCGGGTGCCAGGCAGGGGAGATGTTGGCTTGTGTGAGGCAGGGCTGGGGGCGGCAGGGGCAGGATTGGCAGGGCTGGGGGGGTGGATGAGAGACTGCGCCGTGCGCTTTGCCGTCTCTCAGGAATCCCGGGCCCTGGCAGGAGAGGCTCTCCTGGGTCAGAGCATCACACACGACAGAGAAAATAAGAAACGAGGCCTAACCCAACTGGGGGGCCCACGGCCCAAGCCCCACAGAGCGCTGGGGGCTGATGAGGGCATCGGGTGAAGCTGGAAGCGCATCCCTGGGTTCCACCCGCTCCCCCTCTGTTTCCCGAAAAACACCTCCTCCCTCTGGCGTCCAGAGGGGCACAGAATTGGGGCCTGAGGGGACTGTCTCCTGCTCTCCTGCCCCACCCACCAAGTTCAGAATAAACTGAGAAATAGGCTCAGCGGTCGAGCAGACACTTAGCAGCACAGGAGGGGAGAGAAAGTGGAATTTGGGT